TAAAATAAACTATAATCTTCTAAAATATCACTTTTTCAATCACTAAAATTCCAGTTAACAAAAGAATATATACTGAAAGGCATTTGAAGTTAAAGATTTTTCCCCACACTATTGTTTAAACTCTAGGTAAATAACTCAAAGTAAAATTATAAGGGAGGAATTGAGAAACAATATTTAAAGATGCATTTTTCCCTCAAAATCAATTTAACAAATATTACTGAGCAACTATAATGTGTAAGACTGTCTCCTGGATGTTTCGTGAGAGCAGTCCTTGAAGGAATTTTCATTCTAGTTCAGGACTAAGTAAAATAAAGTAATAACTATGATACCCCACCTAACGTGGGACGGGAAAGAGGAATCAGAGAAACTTAAAGAAGCAGCAGCGTTAGAGAGGGGACTTTAGGGAAGGGTAAGATGTTGAAAGATAAGAAAAAACAGCAAATAGCAGAATGGAGCAATTGCTTGGTCCTAAGGTATCAAGAAAAAATCTTGAGGCAGCAGGGGTGTGTGTGTGTGCTGTGTTCCTAACGATATTAGACCACTTTATACTATCTTTAAACTACATTTTTCGATTTATAAAACATTTTCTCCTCTTCCTTGTCGTCACTGTCTTCCTCGTCCCCCACCTCCTTTCTTCTTCCTTAACAGATATTGGGGGTGTCCCTATTGAGACAATATACCCAAAAGATCAAGAACCCCAAACAAAACAAAGCACTCTTTTAAACATTTCTCAGAAATGTTATGAGTGTCACATTCTAAGATGCAGAATGGACAACTATTATTCCTACTGTCTATCACAGAACAGTGAAGTTCAGCAGGCACAGTGATGACCCAGATGAAAATAGTAGGTGAAAAGTAGCCCTGCGGGAACTCAGGCAGATCTTCAAAAATGGTGCATTAAGAGCTTTCCCCACCAGGCTCACCAAAGTGAGGACGAAGCTCCAAGTGAGGCTGCACACAGTAAAGTCCCAAGATACATCTAACTAACCCCTGTTCTTAAGCAATAATGTGAATGTAACATCAGACAGACGCTATGAAAATTGGTTTTTCTTCCCCAAGGCACAGTGAAATAGAAGACATAGGAGAAAAAAATAGAAGACGTGGTTTAGCAAAAAGAAATAAAAACAGAGAACAATAAGTTAACAAGTCCTTATGAAGTGAATTAAAATATCATAGGAATCCAGAATTTCAAAATCATTAGATCTACACTTCTAAACTGATCATGATGCATGATTACGGGAAAATCAAATCTCTTGAAGGCAGATTTGTTGAGTATATTTTTATGCAAAGGAAGGAAGGAAAGAAGGAAGGAAAAAAAGGAAGGAAGGAAGGAATATATACTAACAAAATGGGCAAAGCCAACATGCTTTGTGGTTGTTCCCCTTGTTGCTAAGTAAGATTCAACATCTCTTCAACTGAAGAATAAATAACAAGCCAGGGATCCAGAGATTAGATGATTCCTGTCTCAGCTCTACCACTAACTGGCTATGTGATCTTGGGCAAGGTACCTCACCTCTCTAGGTCTTTGTTTCTGATCTGAAACAATGAAGCAATTCAACTAAGTAATATTTATGAGTCCTTCTCTAAAATTATTAATTCTCAAGCTTTCAGCTGAGAAGAAATTCAGAAGACCACATGAGCCATTTTCCCTTAATAGAATATTATAAAACTTGTACAACTGGAAACCTAAAATGCACACAGGACAGATAAATCAAAACTCCACGAAAGCAATATAACACCCAATACTTACATAGCACTTTGATGTTTCAAAGTGCATTTTCACCTATCTTCCACTCCTTGAAGGCACACTCATAAGTACTTGCAACAGAAACCAATCTAAATCTTTCTTGCAATGCTGGAGATATTAAAATGGCAACAGTTTCAGTGTAGTATTTGTATAGGTTCTAGAAGTATTTGCTACAATGATTATCTAAGGCCCATCATAACCTCACTTTGGCAGAATTTGTAAAACAAATTACATAACTCAGCTGAAATGGCCTTCAAGCATGGTATGTTGTTTTAAACTACAATAAAGGTTAAAGATGACTTAGAAACTCATAGGGTCAAGCCTTTACTTTGGGACCACAGGCCAATCTAATGGGGCATGGAGAGCAGAGGGTAATCATGGTCTATTGGTTTGATTTAGGGAGCTCTGTAAGTAAAAACAATTTCATTCACTTTCACCTTCATATTTTGACATCTGGAGACTAGTTTGTGGAATCAGGAAAATGACAGATGAGACTGAACAGGAAATGCTATTTGGTTCATGTCCCAGGGATATTATTTAACAAAAATGCTGAGGGAGCTATTTCAATAGCTCAGCTAGAGGGAAGGCATTCACTATATGCTATTTATGATGCTTTCAGAAACATCTCAGGAGGTATAAATTTTGGCAACTTATACACATTCCTTTAGGCATTTACCTGTATTGGTTCCCTGCCTTCCATATCGAGAAAAATTTTATCCATCACAAAAAAGGAGAGATGTTATAATTCCCAACAAGAAGTATATGCATTTTGATGATGAGAAGAAAGCAAGTTCAGTATATTTTGAGGTACTCAGTGAGGAAGTGAAGATGGCTTGCTTCTAAGAATTACTGAAGATGG